CTACACCTTGTTATCTAAGAATGAGAAGGGAACAGGTTTGAAGTGAGGTGAAAATGAAGCACGGGAGAAAAACCTTTTCTCACTGTCTGGAATGCACTGCCTGGAAATGTGGTGGAGGCAGGTTGAGTGGCAGTATTCAGGAGGGGCATTGGATGCTGATTTGGATAGAAATGGTGTGTAGGGAGATTGTTGGGAGATAGGGAATAGAACTGGTGCAGGCACATTGGGCCAAATGGCCTCGTTTTGCACCGGAACAATCCTGTGATTCTGAGGGTTGCTCAGATTGAGGAGAGTTCCTGCCTCCAAGAGCCAATGGGGACCAATGTTTTCCTGGAACAGCTCTCCTGCCTGAGGTTGGGAGGCTACAGCCTGAGGGTGCCACTCTGCATTATGGACCAGGAACCTGTCCTGCTCTTCAGTTTGTCAGGAGGATTGAAGGCTGCATTTCAAAAGTGCTCAGAGATAGTAAGAACTGCCGATGCTGGAGTCAGGGCCCATTTCTGAAGAAGGGTCCTGACCTGAAACGTCAGCTTTCCTGCTCCTCTGATGCTGCCTGGCCTGCTGTGTTCACCCAGCTCCACACTGTCTTATTTCAAAAGTGACTACCTTGCTCATCAAGCCCCGGAGAGGACTTGAACCTGGAGCTTCTGGTTTGAGTTTAGGCATGTTAGCCGCTACACCAGGAGCCCTGCTATTCCTTAGTGACCAGGGTTGAGCACACAACCCTCTGCAGTCCTTTCCAATGCTAACAGAACCCTCCCCTCAGTGGTGGTCAGTGGAAACTCTGACTGCATTTGTTCACCTTGAAAGCCACCACGCTGGGCTGGAACCAGCATGGGGTTTCTCTGAATATTATGTGCCAGGAACCTGGTCATTCGCCAAAGGTCAGGGGGATAGTAAGGGATAATGGCTGAGGTCCTTCCCTGAAGGACATTAGTGACTCAGATGGGGCTTCCAACGATTGACAACGGATTCCATCACTGTCAGGTCCTTAATTCTAGATTCTTTACTGAATTTAAATTCCACATTCTGCCGTGGCAGGATTTGAACCCAGGTCCCAGGAAAAGAGCCTGGGTCTCTGGATTAACAGTGCAGTGATAATAATATAGCCTCCCCTATGTGTTCCCATATTAAGCAGACAGCAGTGTCTCTTCCAATGGACACCCAAGTAAGCAATGCTGAGTTGCTCAAACTGGAAACGTAGCGGGCTTTTAATTCACACAACTGGAGGCAGGGATCACGCCTGATTTGTGGCTTATCCTGGAAAGTACAGGAACGTTCCATTTGCGACAGAACCTCCCGCGGAGTGACGGTGGTTGAAAAGCCAGGGAAAGGTGCACAGCACAGGACAGAAGCGGGTGGGGGAAAGGAGTGGGAGGGCTGAACACCCCCCCAGCCCCACCTCCCACTCGCCAAGGCCACGTGGAACCACTTCTGCGACTACTCCGATTGTGCCAACAAAGGAGATGCGTTTGAGCGCTCGTGGAGCTTTCGCTGGAACCCATGCTTGAAATTTGGCCAAGTTTCAATTCCTTGAATTCAAAGAATTATTGGAATGCCTGCTTTGATTCCCTGTTTCTCCCCATCTGCTTTGTAAATCAGTCCTGTTGTTTTTTTGAAACAGAAATACAGGTCAGCGTTGTGCTGCTGGATAAACCTGGTGCCACTGTCCCCTGAATCTGGATTCTGATCAGTACTCGGGATTATCGATTGGTTTTAAACACAGATATCAGGAAGGCAGCGGATACTACATGGGAATGTAGAGCCCTGGAAGTCGAAGGGTTGAGGAAGGGTCTTATGTTGGACTGGGTCCTTATTCGAACACAAGGGACAGAACTGTCTTTGTTTTGGGGGCTTAGAAAGACAAAGCAGAGGAATGACCAGTGAATCAGTCAGTCTGTCCACTCCACTTGATAACACCAGACACTTCAATAGGACAACACTGTCTGCCTGTAAAATTGCTTTGAGCTTCCAAAGGGGATGATCTCACTGAGTTTGTTTTCAGTTCAAGTGAAACAGTCTGTTGCAAGCCAATGTCGAATGGAACAAATTATCAGGTGGTTATGAATGGAATGCTTCTCCATCAAATTGACAAACTGCTACAGAGTGCAGACTTTGAAGTTAAAGAACTTCCATTATTATGGACTGAAGATTTGCAACCATTGTGGCAATATTCTGTTTTATTTATTCACGGGATGGATACGTCACTGTCTAGGGCAGCATTTATTGCCCAGAGGGCAGTTAAGGGTCAACCACATTGCTGTGGCTCTGGAGTCACATGTAGGCCAGACCAGGTAAGGATGGCAGGTCTCCTTCCCTGAAGGTCATTAGTGAACCAGATGGGTTTTTCCTGACAATTGACAACAGAATCATGGTTAACATTAGACTTCCAGATCTGTTAAAATTCAACTTCTGCCATGATACGATTTGAACCCCAGTCCCCAGAACATTATCTGGGTCTCTAGGTTAATAGTCCAGTGATAATACCACTAGGCCATCACCTCCCCCTCCTTTGAGTCAAATGAGTCACGATGTAGGGTCTTCTTACTCTCCAGTGAAAGGTAAATCCACTGGTTATATTCTTTTCCAACCTCATCTGTCAGGCAGAAGATACAAAAGCTTAAACACACAAGACCAACAGGTTCAAGAACAGCTTCTTCCCCTCTGTGTGATAACAGACTTCTGAATGGACCTCGCAAATTTAAAATTTAATGTTGACCTCGCTCTTTGTGTACCTTCTATGCAGCTGTAACTTTGCAATCCTCACTCTGTTCTATTACCTTAATGCACTTTGTATGATATGAAGTGCCTGTACTGCACACAAAACATAACCTTTCACTGTACCTAGGTACATGTGACAATAATAAAATAAGTCACAGTCTTACTGGACCATAGGGCAGCTCTCTCACGGGAGACAGAGAGATGACTCATAGCTGTCTAACCCATCGGCTACCATGCCCCAGGTGAGGGGGCAAGTTGAGAAGGACAGTCTGTCATGGTGATCTCAGCTAGTACAGGAATTGAACCCACACTGCTGGCATTGCTCAACAGGTGTCCAGCCAACTAAGCTCATTAACCAAGCCTTCCAGGCCCCAAATCTCTGCTAATTCTGTCTCATATCAGTTACACACATCATCACTGTCCGTATGTGAGTGCACACCGCTAGGAGCTAGTTCGGTAAGCAAATGGGTCTCACCCACCTGAGTTTCATTGAAGTCTTTGACACCAACACAGTAGACTGTCGCTCCCAGACTTCGTGACCGGTCAGCCTGAGTCAAAAAGAAAGGGCCGATCATGTGAAAGTCCGAAACAGAATCGATACATCAACACGTTTGTCACAGAGCCAGGAGGAAAGGGGCTGAATTTATAACGTGACTGCTCTCCTCATCTTAAGGCCAGGAGAGTGAGGCATCATTCGATTGACCCCTCTCCCTTTTCACAACCCGTCCTTCACTGAGTCAGGGCAAATACCATACCCTCAACAAAACAGGAATTGTTGGAAAAGCTCAGCAGGTCTGGCGGAATTTGTAGAGAGAAATCAGAGTCAATGTTTCGGGTTGAGTGACCCTTCCTCAGAACTGCCCAGTTCTCACCCTAACCCTGAAACTGCACAGTTCTGAGGAAGGGTCACTCAAGCCGAAACGTTAACTCTGATTTCTCTCCACAGATGCTGCCAGACCTGCAGAGCTTTTCCAGCAAGTATTAGCAGTTCCTTTGGTTTTTAATTTAGTATTCCCCAAACCCTGGTTTCATGATTCCCATTTTGGAAACAAATGCACAGCAAAAACCCTTTGCGGTGAGGTCAAAAATAGGGTTTATTAAACAAAACATCCCAAAATGTGGGGCTGGGAGAATTGCTTTGTCACTCCAGCTACATGTACATACAGACTGGAAATGAGGGAAAACGGAACAGGAGAATGATGAGCTGTCATAAGTCCAGAAATATTACAAATGAATTCACATGAGTTACATCTACCAGAGGTCAATGTCCTCTCAAAGCCTCCTCAGTGAGCTGGACCTATTACTTTTCATTCTCTCAGGCAGAATGTGGGCTGGTTTCAAGCCAATAACTTGGAGACAGAAATGAAGAGGCTGAGGCAGATTGCCAACTCCTGCTTCGAGAACTTGGAGGCTCTTGTTATACACTTCAATTTTAGCCATTTGATAAGGACAGGCTTTTCAGGTACTGATGACCCATCACGGTGGGCTAACTGGGCAGACATGTCTGTGATTTGTGAGAGGAGCTCTCGTAGTGTCCTGACCTCTGAGGTAGGGGACCCAGGTTCAAGTCCTACCTGCTCTGGAAGAGTGTCACAACATCTCTGACCAGGATAATTAAAGTACCAACACAGAAATTGCTTGTGAAACTCAGCAGGTCAGGTAGCATCTGGGGGAAGAAAGCTGAGTTAACATTTCAACTCCAGTGATTCTCCATCAGGAAATGTTGAGATTCACCAGCAATTTCTGTTTTTGTTTCAGATCTTCAGCATTCGCAGTTCTTTGCTGGATATTGTTGATAAAAGTACCTGGAGCTTCAGCTCCCCCTTTTGAGTTTCCACCATGGGGTGACAAGGTAACTGTATAAGCGTTCCATTTGAACAGAATGGCACAATGTTTTCCTTCATCCAGAAGATGTTGGAAGCAGAGGACGTGTCTTTTTTATCAGCTTCAGCTGGAATATCTACCCAATGCGAAGGGGTTTAGAAACTTCGAGAAATAGGATCAGCCTTAGCTACTTCACAAACCCAGCAAACGTTGTCCATTTTGAGAAGAGGCAGAAAGTAAACATGAAAATATGGAAGAGAATACAGTTTTTATTTGGGATTTTCTGCATGCCTGTTGGCTGTTATTTGGTGATCTTTCAAAACACCTTGAGGCTCCCTTTCTCCAAACGTCCTGTTGAGTCTTCCTTCTCAACACATCCTTGACCTGTCAGAATTGGGACTGAGTGCTTTCTATTTTAGCATCCCATCAACCAGGATCTCCCAACTTTGCAGGCTTTCCTCCCACTTGTAGATGATTGAACACAGACCTTGAGCTCCCACATCAGCCACTGTTTAATTTATCCTGACTAGTCTACGCCTTTCACCAACTGTTTCCTGTACCCATCTCCCGAAGATTTAACTTGAAGTGTCACAGAACGGCCTCCAGTTGGATCTCCACTGCAGATGCCATTGTGTTGAGAAGTTTCCTTGGCCTTTGAGTCTCAAACAAGGTTATCAGGTGATCAGACAGACCTTTCCCAATCAAAATGATCAGCTTTGAAAACACTATCACTAACCTCGAGCTCAGTCCCAGTGAAAGAGACGTGAGAAAGTCAGATGGAAAGAACGAGAGAAAGATGAAAGATGTATTCTTAATTGTTCATGCATTTACTGGAACCCCCTACTTTCCCTTGCAGAGGTGAGAGTTTTTGAATGGGGAGAGTTCATGACAACCACAGTGTTGTTGAGACCCAGTGACAGTGAAATATTTCCATGTCAGGATGGTGGGTGGCTTGCAAGGGGGTGTCACTGTTCCCATGTACCTGCTGCTGTTGTCCTTCTGGATGGAAGTGGTCATAGGTTTGGAAGGTACTCTCTTAGAAGCATCGGTGAATTTCTGCAGCGCATCTGGTAGGTGGGACACACTGCTGATACTGAGCTTCGGTGGTGGAAGGAGTGGATGTGGTGCCAATCAAGCGGGACTGCTTTATCCTGGATGGTGTCAAGTTTCTTGAGTGTTGTTGGGGCTGCACTCATCCAGGCAAGTGGGGAGTATTCCTGACTTGTGCCTTGTAGGCGGTGGACAGGCTTTGGGGAGTCAGGAGGTGAGTTACTCACCTCAGGATTCACAACCTCTGGGCAGCTGTTGCTGCAATCTCTGGGTTTTCTGGCTTCAGTTTCTAAATGAATGGGATTCATCCAGAGAATTGTTGAGAGAAGTGGAAAGCAGGAGAGCTGAAGGAAAGTGACTCCAGTTCACTCATGACATTGGTCATGAACTTGTGCAGGCAGAGCTGTCATCTTTCACAACAATCGCCCTGATTCTAGGAAGCATACCGGGATGGCAGAAACGAAGGGAAAAAAAATGTTGAGAAGCTTCTCGATTTTGTGAACCTCAGACCTGACCCACAGTGAAGCAGCTGCAAACACAGAGGCTACAACAAGTGGAAGATGGTTGCCAAGCAGAACGGAGTCACAGTACTCAGAAAGGAATCTAACAATATTTCTCAAAAAGAAAACCCTCCATGAACTGAGCTGCAATGATTTACAGCAGGATGAGAACACTTTGACTGAATGACTTCATTGTGACATTCTGCCAAGCATCTGTTTCTCTGGAATGATGTGACCAACCCCTCCCCTCCCAGCCTTGCTGGGCTGTGCCAAGGTTCATCAAAACAAAAGTCCCTGGCATTGAGACTGGGCTCAGCTTGTGTCACTCAAACCAGGTATCTTCTTCAACCACACGACTAAGGAGCGGGATGGGGGGAGCATCCAGTCAATGGGGCAGTTCAGAACAGAGCAGCTGGCCGATTGGCCGTGGACGATAACAATTCAGCAGGAAGGCTGATAGATAACACTGTCAATAGGACTGTCGAGAGAAACAGCACGAAGACGAGCTGAACTGGGGATGGATTAAATAGATCGATGCCAATAATCCTGGCCTGTTCCACAAGGCAGCCAAACCTGAAGGTGATTCAACAATTTCAAGCCCCTATCTTTGTTGCCAGTGCGTGATTTAATCTTCGTCTTGTCTTTCTCCTGCTTCTGCTTTCGGACAGAGGCTGATCACTTCTCTGTTCACACCTCCCCCGGACACATCTTTGCTTCTTTCCCCTGGCCCACCATCTCCTTCATCACCGCATGTGCCCCGTCTTTCACCCAGCCACAGACTTCCCTTTTTTCCATTCTCCCACTCTTGGAGTCTAAACATCTATTGCTTTCCAAAATTGTCCCACCTCTGACTAAGCTCATGGAGGTGAAACATTTGCCCCATTCCTCTCTCCACAGAAGCTTCCTCTCCCGCTCACTCACTTGTCACTATTTTTTTAAATCTTTGTTTCAGATCTCCAGCACCCCCGTTTGCATTGAAGGCTTGGAAATCTCCTAGTCGCTCCAACTTCTCCTGAAAGGAATGTATCCCGATGGAGCCTTTTGAATGCACAGACTATCATTCCCTGATTTGTCCAAACAATGGCCACTGTAGGAAAAGGCAGCGGCTATCAATGGGACAGGAAATCACTGCAGTGCACATGGTGATCCATGTCCAGGAGAACCTAGTCCATGGTCATCAGTCAGGGATCTCCTTCTGCTCTAGAAGATCTTCTGTACAGTGTCATAAACCCATGCCCCATCTCCAGGCACTGTCCCAACAGTTTGCAGCTCAGTCAAATAGCAGGGATAAACATTTCAGGGACAGCAAGGTAAACCACAAAGGGTAGGAGGATACTGGGCAGGATTCAACCGAAAGGGGTGGCCTGTTTCTTGTGTAACGTGCAGGCAAAGCCAGCTGAGCAGAAGGAGATGCCATGTCATAGTTTCAATACTCCCAGCCTTGATAAGATCTCTCACATTGACAGATATTCCCTTCCAGAGGGGCAGGGGATGGTCAGAAACCACAGCTTACCTTGGGACAGGCCTTGCTGACAGCAAAGACAACTGGCTGGACTCAACCAGCGGCTCAGAAAATATCATTGGAAAACAAAACAAGGAACAGGACAACCTGGCAGCACGGTGGCACAGTGGTTAGCACTGCTGCCTCACAGCGCCAGGGACCCTGGCTTGATTCCAGCCTCAGATGACTGTCTGTGTGGAGTTCGCACATTCTCCCCGTGTCTGTGTGGGTTTCCTCCGGGTGCTCTGGTTTCCTCCCACAGTCCAAAGATGTGTAGGTTGTGCTAAATTGTCCATAGTGTGTGTGGGCTAGCCATGGGAAAATGCAGGGTTACAGGGACAGCCTTGATGGGCTGACTGGCATCTCCCTGCACTGTAGGGATGCTATGAACCCAGGGGCTAATTAACTAACCTAAGGTCACAAACCACGCCACTTCTAGTCGACTACAGTGATTCAGAGCCCAAAAAAAGGAAAGAACTGTGTCAAGTTGTGATCATTCCTTCCTGAATCTGCCCGCTCCCACGGGTTTTCTACTCGTTCCTTGAAACACATTTTGAGCACATGCTCCCCAGAGTACTCCAACACTCATCAGTATTTGACATCTTACCTCTCTCTCTGCATAGTAGAAAAGGTTCTCCATCAGTTCACCATCGGTCAGGGCAATGATGACACTGGCTGTCCTGTAACCTGCAGCGTCAGACAGGACTCAATTACTTCAGGAGCCCTTCCCTTCGCCCCTCTCAAAGCAAAAATACAATAAAACCATGCGACTGCACCCCCCCTCCTCTTCGCTTGAGCTGCTGATAATGGTCTTTCCCTGTGGCCCTTCGAGCTGTGAATTTCTATGGTAGCCTTGCAATGGAAGGCTGGCAGCTGCAGTGCTAAAAGCAGAATGCTGCATACGGTGTCCATGTGCATAGATCACTGAAAGTTGCCACCCAGGTTGATAGGGTTGTTAAGAAGGCGTACGGTGTGTTAGGTTTTATTGGTAGAGGGATTGAGTTTCGGAGCCATGAGGTCATGTTGCAGCTGTACAAAACTCTGGTGCGGCCGCACTTGGAGTATTGCGTACAGTTCTGGTCACCGCATTATAGGAAGGATGTGGAAGCATTGGAAAGGGTGCAGAGGAGATTTACCAGGATGTTGCCTGGTATGGAGGGAAGGTCTTATGAGGAAAAGCTGAGGGACTTGAGGCTGTTTTCGTTAGAGAGAAGAAGGTTAAGAGGTGACTTAATAGAGACATACAAGATGATCAGAGGATTAGATAGGGTGGACAGTGAGAGCCTTTTTCCTCGGATGGTGATGGCTAGCACGAGGGGACATAGCTTTAAATTGAGGGGTGATAGATATAGGACAGATGTCAGAGGTAGGTTCTTTACTCAGAGAGTAGTAAGGGCGTGGAATGCCCTGCCTGCAAAAGTAGTGGACTCGCCAACTTTAAGGGCATTTAAATGGTCATTGGATAAACATATGGATGATAATGGAATAGTTTAGGTTAGATGGGCTTCAGATTGGTTTCACAGGTCGGCGCAACATCGAGGGCCGAAGGGCCTGTACTGCACTGTAATGTTCTATGTTCTATGGTGGCGAACAGCACAGGAAATTCTGGCAACAGGTAACAGTCATCAGAGGGGAACGGAGTTTCAGCTGTGGACCAGAAGCAGAAATCGCTGGAGAAACTCAGCAGGTCTGCCAGCGGCTTCTGTTTGAGAGAAGGAAAGCAGAGTGAATGTTTCGGGTCTAGTTCTGAAGTAGGGTCACTGGGGCTGAAACATTCACTCAGTGTTTCTCTCTCTCTCGACCCCCCCAGTTCCAAATAAGGACCAGATTGCGCTCGAAATATCCTCGCTGTTCACAAAACGAATGAGTAACAAGCAGAAGTAGGCCATTCGGCCCCTCGGGCCTGCCCTGCTGTTCGATAAAAGATCCTGATTGATTGCCCGCGCGTGGCCGGAGAGCAGTTGGATGATCAGCCACGATCCTATCGAATGGCAGGAGCAGGCTTGAAGGGCCGAATGGCCTCCTTCTGCACCGATTTATTTGTACCCTTGAGAAAATGCTCCTTAAAATCTACATTTCAGTTTCGGGAGGAGGCTCGGAGAGGTCTCTTTCTGTAGCTCAGTGTCGCACTGTGCGGCGGTTTGGGATGTTTTGCAACGCTGAGGGTGCCATATCAGTGCAAGTTGTTGTTGGCAGATGCGGCTATTTGACAGCGTTGCTGGCGATGAAGGAACTGCAAGCCGCCAGTCCGGAAAAAGACAGTGTCTGTATCATGCAGGGGTGCGGTACAGTGATGATCTAACTCACCCTCAGCACTGGAATAGTAGATCTGTTCGCTGGCCTGTAAGAAATGAAACACGGTTCAAACCAGGGGCTCAGTCAGAATCAGGAGATGTTTATTCTTGCAGGCTGTTTGCAGTGTTAGCTCTGAGACTGAATCGCAATCTGTATGAAGGTTAGAGTCACCCATGTTTCACTGTACTGCCTTTGCTACACACAACTCCTGGTTTGCAGTCAATCCTCTGTATCCCGAAAACCACCGATCACGAATGCAACGACAATCGAGATCCATGGGCAAAGACTTGCGTATCAGAGATATTTTTTTAACCTGTTTCTAACAAGCTGGGCACTCGCGAAATTGCATCATCAGAGGAATGACTGTGTGTACTCTGTCCCATCAAACAGTTCCCAGGTTTCTGACCACTTCTGAACCCCTGGGTTATTCCTTACATCCACCCGGATACACGCTACATCTTCCAGTTCAAGATCAGTTGTGTTTGTCCTCCTTATTCCACCTCATACCAACAATGCCAACCCATCACCACTCTTTGCTTCTGCCCTGTCCTTTCGAGAGGTCCCAAAGTCCGGAATATTTAGTTCCCAGCTTCAATCATCCTGTAAACTTCACCATGACTGTAAGATCTCACACCTGTTCACCTGCATAAATATACTCCAGGCTGAGATAGACAGGTTTTTAATTAGGAAGGGGATCAAGGGATAAGGTAGGAAAGTGAATTTGAGGATATCCGATGAGCCACAATGTCATCGAATGGCAGAGCAGGCTGGAATGGCCTACTCATGCTCTCAGTTCTTCTGGTCTTTATAACACATCATGGGGAGACGATGGCCTAGTGGTATTCTGGCTGGACTGTTAATCCAGAGACCCAGATAAAGGTCTGGGAACCAGGGTTCAAATCCCACCATGGCAGATAGTGGAATTTGAATTAACAATGACCATGAATCCATTGTCAGGAAAAACCCATCTGGTTCACTAATGCCCTTTAAGGAAGGAAACTGCCATCCTTACCTACATGTGACTCCAGACCCACAGCAATGTGGTTGACTCTTAACTGCCCTCTGGACAATTAGGGATGGGCAATAAATGCTGCCTGGTCAGGGATGCCCTCATCCTGTGAATGAATAGAGGGGGGAAAAAAAAACACTGCTGTTCAGAGCCCAGGATGGGACCAGAGACCCTCAGATCGGGAACAGACGGACCAGAGTCCCTGCAGGACGAGGTATTTGAGATCTTGCTGCTCACAAACTGAGCCGTGGCTTTTGACTGGGGTGACCGAGCCCCTGCATCCCGCACATATGTCTGGTGACTGTGTTGAGCTGTACTAAAGTGCAGCAGTGACTGTGGGTACCAGCATTGGCATCCACTCTGAATTCGCCTTGTTTTGCTCATTGCATGCACTGTTCACAGTGACCACATCCCCTTTCCAAAACCAGCTGGAATTACCTGCCGGGAAGTTCGCTCGCTCTCTAGGAATTTTACCTCTCCCAGCGCCCACACCAGCTTTCCCATTAGAAATAAAACAACACGCGTGGTAACTGTACCCTCTCAAAACCCTCATGCATGTACGTGTCCCCTCCAGGCTGCACCATCTGTAGCTCCTCCAGTCCTTTACGAATTCGTTCCCTTTTGAAACAAAACAAGAAAATAAAACAAGGATTGAAAACAGGTGAGGGGTTCAGGACTGTTCTCACCACCTCAAAAGAAACATCAACTCAGGGGATGGATTTCAAAGGGGTGTTTCTTGGAGACTTTTAACTTTGTTCTCCAGGGGGTTGCTGGTGTGATTAATTTCATTCTGCTGCAATGATCTCTGCACAGCCTAACATTTAATGGCTGAAATCTGTTCCTGCTTCATTTGAAGGGAATATGTTCGAAGGACAGCTAAAGGATATTTGGTGGTAGCCAAACATTCCCAAAGCTTGGATTTTGAGGCAGTGATCTCACACCATGGGGTGAGGGTGCACCATGAAGTAACACCGGGTATAACTCTAGTGGTTAGCACCGCTGCCTCACAGAGCCGGGGAGCCTCGTTCGATTCTGTCCTTGGGCAACTCTCAGTGTGGAGTTTGCACATTCTCCTCATGTCTGCGTGGATATGCTCCAGCTTCCTTCCATTGTCCAAAGATGTGCAGGTTAGATGAAAATGCAGGGTTAGAGTGATAGGGTTGGGTGGTGGGTCTGGGTGGGATGCTCTTTGGAGGCTGAATGGCCTGCTCCCACACTGTAGGGATGCTATGATTTACTTGAAAAACATTAAATTTGATTTCATTCATTTCTGCCAAAAAAGAATGGGTCCAGCAGTTGAAACATGTTGAGCACAAGCACTCAAGCATAAGCAGAAGATACAAAAGTATGAAAACACAAACCAACAGTTCAAGAACAGCTTCTTCGCCGCTGTTATCAGACTTATAACACATCAGAGTTGATCCTTCTCCATTGCCATTACATTATATTCTGCATTCTATTCTATTTCCCCGATGTACTTATGCAAGGGATGATTTGTCTGGTTAGCACACAAAACAATACTTTTCACCGTACGTGTGACGATAATAAATCAAATCAAAACAATCAAAATCCAAGCCTGTTTGTCCTTAAAAAAAGCAAGGCTGAGCAGAGGCCTGATCAAATAGACCCAGAGAGAATGCAAACACTTCTGGCCAGGCAAATAAAACAGTCACCCAGAAATTCAACGCAGAGTCAGAACCAACTGCAGCCACAGAGTGATGACAATGTACAACCTCTGACAATGGGGGAGTGTTCAAAGGGAATGGGGCAGCTGGCATCGATGAGCAAGCTTGACAAAAGAGTGAGGTCGAATGAATTAGGGAGTTCAGAAGGCAGTCTTAAATGAGAACGTATGGATGGATGCTCAAGCCAAGTATAAACACAGACCTTCAACATCCACTCCCTCCGCCCCCGAAGCTCAGTAGTAGCAGTGTGCACTATCTACAAGATGCACTGCAGAAATTCACCAACGATCCTTAGACAGCACCTTCCGACTCTCGAAACGGAATTGGATAATGTCACCCAAGGGAGTTGGATTAAAAAAGATCTTAGTCAGGCAATAGGTTGCAGGGCTGTGGTTGAAGACATGGGAGTGGGGGCGTGGGATGGAGAGAGACAAAATTGGGAAGGGACAGCAGAGAAACTCCAGCCCAAATGGCATTGTTTTGGAGTTCCCACATTCTGCAGACTGTTGGAAGCCTTTACAGAAGAATATTGTGGATACGGCTCACCTGTCCTCAGTTAAGGTCATAAGCGTGGTCCCTCTGGTCGAGAAGACGATAAAAGACATTCTCAGTTGGGGGCTGGAAAAGAACAAAGAGGTCGGTCATCTCTTTCTGCTACCTCAGCAGGACCCCAAACAAAACACATTACAATGCAGTGTTTGAGAAGGTGGATTTCTCTTGAAAGGGACTCCGATGGAGAAACCCAGCGAAGGTATTTTACCTGATGAACTTGTGAGCTAGATGATCGACAAAGAAGAATATTTCATTCCAGTGATGTTGAACACTTCCCGACCTGTAAGGACATATTCAGATTCACTGATTAGTCTTCCAGACACATTCTTTAAGAATTCATTATTTATCATTTCTTTCTCTAAAGGACATTTGAAAGTGGTCTGCACAAAAGTAACATTTGGCACATCAAGCTTCATCTGTCATCTATTAATCTTCTTTCCATTCACTGTCAAGTTATGGGAATCAAGGGGAAGACTGAATGTCATCTGTAAACACAGAAAATAGAAGGTAGGCCATTCAGCCCTTTGAACCTGCTCTGCCATTCAATGTAGTCTGATCCTCCAACTCGGTCCCCTGTTCCTACTTTCCCCAATACCCTTTGATCCCTTAGCCCTAAGAACCATACACATTTCACCTTGAAAATAATCTATGTTTTGGCCTCAACTGCTTTCTGTGACAGAGAATTCCACAGGCTCCCCCACTCTCTGGGTGAAGACATTTCTCCTCATCTCAGTCCCAAATGGCCTATACTATGTCCTTAGACTGTGGCTGTGGACTCTCTGGTCATCAGGTACATCTCTTTATATTTACCCTGTCCAATCCTGTTAGAATTTCACAGGTTTCTGTCACATTCCCCCATCATCCTACTGAACTCCAGTGACCCTCAGTTGTGGACTCACTGGCCCAATGGAACATTGCTCTTCTGCCTGATTAACATTTCCATGACCTGTTCCAGGAACTGAGAACTAAGAACACCTATCAAAAAACATTTGACAAAGCCCCTCATGAAATCTGACCAGTTTAGCTTCTGGAATGGTAGTAGGGAGTGAAAACCCAGTTACAGTCAAGAAACCAGCTGAAAGATGGACAACAGTGCTGTACTATTGCACAGTAAAATGGGGCTTTGAGAAAGGGAGGTCATGCCTGACAAATCTATTAGAATTCTTTGAGAAGGTGATGAGTAAGTTAGACGAAGGGGAGCCAATGAACATGATTGATTTGGATTTCCAGAAGCCCTTTGACGAGGTGCCACACAGGAGGCTGCTAAATAAGATAAGGGCCCATGGTGTTAGGGGCAATGTACTGGTATGGATGGAGGATTGCCTTAAAGGGCGGCACAGTGGCTCAGTGGCTCAGTGGTTAGCACTGCTGCCTCACAGCACCAGGGACCTGGGTTCGATTCCCACTCTTGGGTGACTGTGTGGAGTTTGCATGTTCTCCCTGTGTCTGTGTGGGTTTCCTCCCACAGCCCAAAGATGTGCAGGCTGGGTAGATTGGCCATGCTAAATTGCCCGTAGTGTTCAGGGATGTGTAGATTCAGTGGCTTTTCGGGGGATGGGTCTGGTTGGATGCTCTGAGGGTCAGTATGGACTTGTTGGGCCAAAGGGCCTTCTTCCACACTGTAGGTATGATGATGAGGCAGAGAGTGGGGATAAAGTGGTGTTTTTCAGGATGGCAGCTGGTGGCGAGTGGAGTTCTACAGGGGTCAGTGTAGGGACCACAACTATTCACGTAATACATTAATGATCTGGATGAAGGAACTGAGGGCATTGTTGCTAAGTTTGCGGATGATACAAAGATAGGTTGAGGGAGGGTAGTGTTGAGGAAGCTGAGAGGTTGCAGAAGGACTTGGACAGGCTCGGAGAGTGGGCAAAGAAGTGGCAGAGGGAATACAATGTGGGAAAGTGTGAGGCTAAGCAGTTTGGCAGGAAATACAGAGGAATAGCCTATTTTCTCGTGTCTGCACATCACTGAGAGAGAGAGTTACCCATCCAATGGCTACATGACGTGTGAATTCTAGACCTCATCTCACTTTCTGTTGAACCAAATTGCCACTTAGTTTCTATTGGTAACCTTCACCAACGACTGGCGCATGTCCTTTCAATGGTATTGAGGGCAGCTACAGGGTGCCTGGGAGTTTGGCCTTCAGTAGCCAGGAGAATTAGGTTAACTGCTTTATCCTGCATGGTGCCAAGTATCTTGAGTGTTGTTACAACACATGGCAACAATGTGTATCAACAACCTTGTGGCTTCAATGTAATCAAACATCCCAAAGCATTCCGTACTCGTCCGATCAAACACCAGCCACATTTGACAGAGATGTTAGCGCAGTCGACCATGAATTTGGACAGAGAGAGACATGTTAGAAGGGTCACCTCAGAGGCAGAGAGAGATAGAGAGGCAGCAAGGCATGGAGAGGAAATTTCCCAGATCGGACTCAATGAGACCTCAGCTGGACAACTGTGCACACCTCCAAGGCAGCACATTAGGAAGACGCGAATGCACAGGGAGCAGCACAGAAGAGGTTTCTGGTACTGATACAAAAACAGGAATTGCTGGAGAAATCTGTGGAGAGCAGTGCTTTGTCTCTGCACACAGATGCTGCCAGACCTGCTGAGTTTCTCCAGCAAGATCCACCTTTGTTTCAGATTTCCGGTATTGGCAGTTCTCTGTTTTATTTACCGCACTGACAAGTTATGAGGCTGGATTGGAGAGTTCGGCACTATTTCTACTGGGGAGAAGAAATCTGAGAGGAAATCTGATTCAAGAGCGTGAGAGGTCAGGGCAGAGCAGACGGGCAGAAACTGTTCCCACTCTTAAATGGATTGAGAACCAGAGCACACGAGTTTGAAATGACTTAAAAAATAAATGAAAATACAAGGTGAGAAGCAACTAATTTTCAAACCGTGAGTGGTCAGGGTTCAGAACGCACTGCCTCTAAGTGTTCTGGAGTCAGGGATAATTGTGGCTTTCAAGGGTGGGCTTTCAATGATTAATTGCATAGAAACAGTGTCCAGGGCTTTGGGGTGAATGTGGGAGAATGTGTTGTAGAAAAAAAAAACCCAATGAACTGTGGATGCTGGAAATCAGAAGCAAAAACAGAAACTGTTGGAGAAATGCAGCAGCTCTGGCAGCATCTGTGGAGAGAAAGCAGAGTTAATGTTTCGGGTCCAGTGACCCTGCCTCAGAAGATAAAACCTCCCAGGTACTGAAACTGAAAGCCAGCATTCTGTAAAAACGGCCAAAGAGTAACATTTAGTTCTGCCCTGCACAAGGACAGTGAATGTAAGGGTTTCAGTGGATCACTGAGGACAGTTCAGAGTCAGCAAAAAGCAGTTCCAAGGTCGCAGGTAGTTCGAGAGAGATTGAGAGGCAAAGACTCCATGTTCGGAGTGCTGGTTTCTCACTGTCCTGTAGGAACCAAGTCACCAAGAGCAGACAGGTTCACTGTTAGGATGAGTTCAGGAAGAACTTCTAGGAATTAGTAAACAGCTGAGATTGGGAGTCAGGAGTTCGAAGAAGTTGTGGGGAACTGAAAAATGTGGGAAGGTCGCTGACTCTGTGCTCCAGGAAGCCATAAAGTGCGCAGGAGGAAACTGTGAGGTTTATGCATCAGTGTAGCTGAGTGATTGAAACACCCATAAGCAGTATCTGATTAACACAACCGAGCAAGATTAAATCTCAGGGAAGACCCAGGGACACCTTGGTTTGGTGAAGCTCGCTGTCAGTGAAGAGCTGCACTTATGCTTGTTGATGAGTACTGGAAAGCGGTTTCAGAGTAGAGGAATATTAATCCAGGAGAAGAGTGTGATTGACTGGAACACAAGTGGCTGTCGAGGTCGTCCACAACAGCATGCCTCTTGAGAGGGGGCTTCAAGGTAAGAACAGCAAAGTGAAGAATTTTAACCCCCGGTAAAGTTTTGATGACCCACTCTGTTGGAGAGTGTGAAGAAATCTGATCTCATTTGCTACTTAATGTGTACTGTGTAGTGTTTCATCACAGTCTGTCACCCAGATATACTATGTTAACTCTGGGTGTAAAAGTGTTAGGAGTTTGTAATCGAGATTGCGTCCCTGTCCCAATGTTGTGCAGGGAGGTTTTCCTGTTTGTTCAAAACTGTGGAATCTCGTGGCTTTATTTTCTCAGTGAGTTCCCTGGAACGTGCTTTTTCTGTTTAAAACCTCTAAATTTAGGGAGTGCTTCAGGATCATAACAAGTGGCACAGAGTGAAATGCTCAGCAGAGAGCTGGTGCAGTTATGATGGACCGAGTGGCCTCTTCCACTCTCATCTTATTTCGGAACATGGTTGGATAGTTGGAAATTCAACGAGGTAGGTTTTACAGTGCTAGGGTATCCAAAGCTTAAAAACATGCCAACTACATTTGAAGAGCTGTCACATTTCAGTCATGTTGAGAGTTACACTGGGAGATGCACTGAAAACTATTTTCGGATAAAGCAACTTTATCAACAAATGCAATGCAATCTGAGCAAAGCAAATTGCTCGTATCATTACTGATTGGCTTGTTAAAGAGTATTTAAGACAAAGAAAGACTATTGGGTAACCTTGTGCAATGTTTGAGGGTGGAGGCAGGGCATGGTCTGGTTTGGACCAGTTGAACTGAACTCAAGGGAACTTATAACAGCTGGTCCTGTGGGAGGGTTGTGTTGTGGGTTAGTTTGAATGTGACCGGGAAGAGGGAAAGGAGATGGAGATGGGAATTGGTGTATTGCTTAGACAACAAAGTTAATCCAAGAGAAGAAACCAACCTTGTTTTGACATTGAAGCTGTTCAAGTTTAACAGAGACCTTTCCCAAAGCAGAAGCTATGCCCTATTGCCACGGGCAAATGCAGTGCTGGGGGAGCTGGAAAGTCACTACACAGACAGGAAAATAATTCAAGAAATAAGGAAATTTCACAACGCAGTGTGGTGCAGTTGGAATATTTTTGAACTGATGTCCTATGGCATGTCCTCCCTTTGTCTCTGTGGCTGTTTAAAATGCCCCCTTGATCTCACTGTGACTCGCTGCCCTGAGTTTATCCAGAAGTCTAAGGGAAGCTTCACATTATGTAGTTTGTGTCGAACTGCGGGGCATTTTAGCTGACATTTGGTCCTTGTCAAATTTATCAATGTGATATCTCCACAATGAGCAATAATAATTGCAATGTGAAGCACTAAAAACAAACGAAATGCTGTTTTCATCCGACAACATGGTTCCCCCACACCAAAACTCTCTCTTGCTTTAAATCTCCCAATGGCTAGGCCAATCATCACCTTCATTAAGAAGTAGAATGACACTTTGAAGTGAATCCTCCAATTGGCAATGGTCATTGGAGAATATGGATGTCTGAATGCCCAGCAATATTGCTTCAAATGCATTTGGTTTGGTAGAAGTTCACATACAGAATTTTGATATGTACTGCATGATGTTTCCAATGGGAGTAAGTGGATAATCCAAGGTTAATCGAGCTCTCATTTTCAAAATTAGTCCCTCTCTGACTCTAGTTCAACTGTTTTTCACTTCTGGGATGTGGGCACTACTGAAATTATTGCCCATCCCTAATAGCCCTTGGACTGAGTGGCTTGCTGTACCATTTCAGAGGGCAGGATAGGAGTCAACCACCTTGCTGTGGGTCTGGAGTCACGCGTAGGCCAGACTAGGTGAGAATGGTCGATTTCCTTCCCTGAAGGACATTAGTGAGCCAGATGGGTATCCCCCCCGCCGACAATCAACAATGGATTCTTCATGCCAGATTATTTTTTAATTGAATTAAAATTCTACCATCTGCTATGGTGGCATTTGAACCCAGGTCCCCAGAACGTTAGCTGAGTTTCCACAAAAACAGTCCAGTGGTAAAAGCACGAGGTCATCACCTCCTCTCCCCTTAGCTGCTTGATCTGCTATGTGCCCAGGAGCAAGCACTACCACAACATCAGCACCCAGAGACAGTTAACATTGGGCAGTGTTGGAGAGTTAGCAGAATTGTATCCTTCCTTGAGGGACAGCTACTGGGTGTGTGACTTCAGATCACTGGGTCTGCAGGGCTCCAAGTAAGATGTCCCCTCCAGACATCTCTGTGAATGGTTGTGTTGCATGCGTAGACATCACACTACTACACAGGTACTCTCATTTCCTTTGACTTTCTCTCTTTTGTTGAACTAAGAAATGCTTTTACACGGCACTGAATTTTTTTTTTGCCACCGTGAAACTGCTGGTGTTACTTCCTGCCTTTAGCTTCCCCCAACTCATTCAGAAACATGGCTGATGCAGTTTACAGGCGTAGCCAAACCCGGGCAGTGCAATGATACGAAAAGTGAGGGGAAGGTAGGGAGAGAGGCAGGGCAGCTCGGAGGGGCAAAGATGGCATTCCATCTGGCCCTGCGTTGGCCAGTTCTCTCCAAAGGCATCAAGGGTGCTTTTCATTCCAGTTGTTTCATTCACACGTCTACCTGATAATGCAAAAGCATCTCACTGGACCTGATACGATCAGTAACTATTGCAAAGTTCACGCCAATTATTATGGCTGTGAGTTTTGTTTTTCACACTACGATCTGCCACTCAACAAAAGACAAGCATAGATTTATGGAGCTAATTATCTTGTCTTTGTCTCAATTCATCAATCTTCATTTGTCTTCCCACTGCTGAAAGGAAACCACCTTCTGCCCCACTTCGATGCATCCCTCTCAGAAACAGTCTGGTCTTTCTTCCTTGACCAGGATAAGAAAGGAGGCCATTGTTTGGGGCAACTTATTTTTCTGGGAATTTCCATGACAGCAGCTGGACATGGTGCTATTAATGGGAGCCTTGTTCAAAGACAATGCAATCATACTGTTCTATGCTGGGCACACTGTCAATTTCTGTTTCTGAATGGGGCTTATAGGCATTGCTGTTTAGTTGTGGAGAATCATAGACTGCTGTCGTTTTCAAGCCCATATAAATCACAAGAGAGGAGGGACAGTTTGCCCTCTGTGGATCCAACTCGGAACAGTTTTGGGGAGTTCTGAGCCACCGTGTTACCGCTCCAGGTTCCACCAGAAAACTGAGGACTGAACCTCCTGGACAGCAAGTCCAAGGTTTTTCTTTGTTAAGAAATACGAAGCAGTACTCTCCAATGACCATCTGAAAGGCCAAAGTGCGTGTCCTCATTGCAGTGTTGTGAAAAGCTGTGGAGATGATTCATCATTTGAGTAATCTTCACTTCCCCTCAGTGCTGTTATTGAAACAACAAAGCAGTTCGCTTCGCACAGCACATCCCCTTTTTGTTATTCTTTCCTGGGACATGGGCATTGCTGGCTGGCCAAGCTTTATCGACCATGCCTAATTGCCACTTGAGAAGCTGGTGGTGAGCTGCCTTCTCGAACCGCTGCAGTCCACGCGCTGTTAGCATACCCTCAGTGTCGTTCGGAAGAGAATTCCAGGACTTGTATCCAGCGACAGTGAAGGAACAGTGATGCATTTCCAAGTCAGGATGGCGAGTGGCTTGGAGGAGAACTTGCAGGGGAGGGGGTTCCCATGTATCTGCTGCCCTTGTCCTTCTGGTTAGCAGAGGTTACTTCAATCAGAAATGTTGTATCTCTTTTCTTCGTTGAACGAGAGGTAGCTTTCAGATTTGGTCAAAGTGTTGTTTGTGCACACGATCATTGGCTGTTCTTTTTCTTCGCTTTGTGAAGATGCAATGGTGACTCTTCGGTCCGTGTTCTATCCCATGCCCCAGCATAAATGAGATAGCAGATGCCACATTTATGCAAGCTTTAACAGGTATCTCTTCAGGCACATCTGTGTTAGATGCACAGGCGTCAAACCGACTAACATTAACTTCCTCTGTGGTCCCAGAAAGCCATCAGCCTGCACCCAACTTTCTCACCGTCTGAAAGGGTCCCTGATCTTCTGAGCCGACAGGGCAAGACAAAGCAAGAAACCACCCACAAGCGTTAAATACCTGAGCAAAAGGCAGGAGCAAGGCTGGGTAACACCCAAAAAGACCCTTTATTCTTTCCTCCAGGCCTCCCGCAGCCAGGGGTCCTTCGCCCCCAGCAATCTGTTGAGCCATAGTGTTGAATAGACTCACTACAGAACATCCACAGTTGCCTTGGGCACAGCTCACTGCCCTCTGAGTCCAGAGATTTCACCTTAGCTCCGTCTGAAATGGTCGAGCCCCTTGGTGCGGGATCCCGTCCCCTGGACCTGGAAAGTGCAGCCTAGGGAAGGAAGCAGCCTCTCAGCATGGAACATATCGTAGTCCCAAAGGATTTCAACGTGATTCATTTGACAGGCAAATTCGAACGTTTGCCTTCCTAGCACTGGGAGTCCAGTGGAAGACTGAAGATGCAGTTGTGTACTTCATGCACATAAAGTATGTTGGACCACTTTGGTCTCTGCCCGTTGTGAAGGATGTATCTGACATAGAGGGAGTGCAGTGGAATTTCTGTCTCACTGGCAGAGACTGAGGAACAGACAGAGACACACACACACACACACACACAGACAAAACTGCTGCCCAATTACAAACAGAAACGGAGGCACTGGCTTTGGAGTAAATTTCCGAGGAATCTGAGGTGACCTTGCTGCAATGTATAAGATACTAAGGGGACTTTGATGGGGTCAATGTGGTGAGGGTGTTTCCCCTTGTGGGAAGAGTCTGGGGCCAGAAGGTGTAATCTCAGAGTCAGGGGTCACTCATGTCAGACAGAGATGAGGAGGAATTTCTTCTCTCAGAGGGGAGTGAATCAGTGGGATTGTGTACCACAGAGGGCTGTTGAGGCTGGGTCGTTGGATGTGTTCACGGCTGGGAAAGACAGATTTTTAATGAGTGAGGGGCAATCAAGGGTTAATGGGAAAAGGCAGGAAAGTGGAGCTGGGGATGATCAGATCAGCCACACTCTCATTGAATGGCAGAGCAGATTCAATGGTCTGAATAGCCCACTCCTGGCGCTCCGATGTGTGCCTTGCCTCACTGCACGGCTTGCATTCAGTCTTCCACACAACCACTGAGAACATACATGAAAATAATCTTCAGTAATGCTTTGAAGGCACAGAGACGCTCTCTCGCTCTCAGATTACAACTTTCTGAAGTGGATTGTGGTCAGTTAAGAGCCGCAGAGATGTGAGGGACCGCTAAGAAATTCCTTTCCTCAGTTCTCTTTGGACAAATGCCCAGTGCAGTGTGCTCCCAGCTGGGCACTGTTCCTGCCTGGATACCCTACCTGGTGGAATTTCCGACATTCACCCCCTCACCCACTTGATGAATGAACTGGGAGTTCTCCTGTAGGGTCCCTCAACGGGGGACATTAACTCGGTGTCTGTCTATTCTCCACAGGGACAACCTGCCCTGTGCAGTACCATCCTGACAGATCCACAGCCTCCGTCACACCTTCTGCCTCTGCCCCACACTCCTCCAATGAAGCTGAATGCAAGTAGAAGGAGCCAGTCCCTCATCCTCCGAGTGGGAACTGTGTAGCCATTCCCGATTTCAGTCTGGGAGCGCCGCTCCCATTTTCCGGATGGCTCAGCTCTCCAAATGGGTGTTGCCATTTCTTCTGGATGTATTTTTTAGACATCAACGGGCCACATGCTGGTAAATGGGATTCAAATGGTGACCTGGTTGTGTCTGACTGGCGCAGACTCAATGGGCTGAAGGGCCTTTTCTCTTCGCTGTAGAATTCCCTGTCTGCAGCCTCTTCAGTGACCACCTCCTTTTTCCCTTGCACCTTTCCATTTCGTTGTCTCTTCATGTCCCTTCCCTTGCATCTCATCACAGCCCTTGTCCTTTGTTCCTACCTCCCTACTTTCTCTTGCCTCTGCTTCCAGTCAACCCACCCTACCTCCTAATATCGCCAGCTGGCTCTAAGGGAGCAGGACCAGCATCAAGCACTCTCCGCTGTGTAAATAAAGGGGTGTCAGGAAACCGGCTTCTTCAGTGGCATGTAACTGATGCTGCAGAGAAAGCCACGATGAACCATTGTGTCAAGCTAAGGGACCGAAATTTCCAAAAGCAGTTGTCAGGGTCATTCCTCACGGTGTCTTCCCCATTCTCCAAAGTCTGCTCTCGCGTGTCAGGAGATTTTCTTCGCTTTTTCATCCAACAGAATCCATCCCCCTGAGTTGCAAACTCTCTGGATTCTAAAAGATGACACAGATACTTGCAGCCAGCTCAGACTTCAGTAGGGAAGGCTCCCACCATCATCCTCGCCTGGTTGCCAGATTTTTTTAGTGGCTCTTTGATGTGATTGCACAGCGTGTCTCTCTCTCTTAAATCCTGCACAGAGTTTTCCCTTTAATTTTGGAAGCAGACGTATGCCAGTCCATGTCCACTAATCCTCATCCTGTGTTCGACAGGAGACTGTCTGGCAGACTGTATCTTAAAGCTGACAGCTTTTACAGTTGCCTTAGACTGACCAGGCCGTGGGGTTGTCCTCTCATCACAGCCAGGGGCATAGAGACAGAGGATTGGTTTAACCTGAGGGTCACCACACCTCAGGCGAGGGGAGAGGTCGAGAAAGTGAACCCTTCAGGGTAACGTCAGCCAGTGATGGGAATTGAACCCATGCTATTAGTATCACTCTGCATCACAAACCAGCCCAATAGAGGTGAGCCAAGAGCTTGCATTTATACTCAAAGAAATGGCAAGTGGCATGTGGCCTTGCTCCTCATGTCGCTGAGGTACACAGCAAGATCCCACAACTGGCATTAGGATGAGTGGTGAGAGGTCTCTCTTGTTGGTGAAGCGGCGTTGTCTGAGGGATATATATTGACCACTGCTGCTCTTTGAACCATGTTGTAAAGATCTTCCTCATTCATCCATAGCACAACACCTCGACTGGATGACAGACCCTGGAGAGAGGCCGGACTCCCTCAGTGATGTATCTGCAGCCACAGATCTCTGGACTGGGATTGGAACCTGATTCATTCACGGATTCACTAGGCCAGCATTTATTACCCATCCCTTATGTCCCAGAGGGCAGTTGGAGTCACATTTAGGGCAGACCGGGTAAGGATGGCAGATTTCCCGCCCTAAAGGACCACTGGTGCAGTGGTGTTTAAAACTACACCCCACCCTCACTGTTAGCAATGTTTTATTCACAACAGATAACAGGGGGATGAGAAGGAGTGATGGCATGGTGGCTCAGTGGTTAGCACTACAGCCTCACAGCACCAGGGACCTGGGTTCGATTCCACCCTCGGATGACTGTCTGGGTGGAGTTTGCACATTCTCCCTGTGTCTGCATGGGTTTCCTCCAGGTGCTCTGGTTTCCTCCCACAGTCCAAAGATGTGTGGATTAGGGTGGATTGGCCATGCTAAATTGCCTGTAGTGTTCAGGGATGTGTAGGTTAGACATAGGGAAAGGCAGTGGTAGGGGAATGAGCCAGGGTGGGATGCTCTTCAGAGGGCAGTGTGGACTTGTTGGGCCAAATGGCCTGTTTCCACACTGTGGGACTCTATGAGCCATTAGAACCCTGCCATCACCTGCATTGAAGACCAAATATCATTGTGAAGCCATTTCCCAGGACAATGTGTGTTGCTGATACTTCCCATAGGGCAGCCAATCCTGTCACACACACACTCTATTTCTCTCTCACACACACATGCAGGCTCCTTGAAGGAATAGGAGGAGACCATGCAGCACCAGTCAATGAGAAGAGTTGTGGTTCATTTCAAGGCTTACTGCTGAGAGATTTGGAGCAATTGAGTTGTTTTTCTCCTGAGAACAGCATACGCTTTGGCATGGCAGTGCTGAATGGGCCCCATTAATTTGGAATGGCCCACGGCAGGTCGAGTCTCTTGGCTTGCAGCCTGAGTTCTGAGATTTTATTAATGCAAATGACTGTCGCTGAGTAACACAGGGGGTCTATTGTAAAAGAGACTGAATTATTGCCCCTGTCATATTTACAATCCTCCAAGCTGCACAGTAAAACACTTTGGTGTTTTCTCTGATACAACAAGGTGTAGAGCTGGACGAACACAGCAGGCCGGGCAGTATCAGAGGAGCAGGAAAGCTGACGCTTCAGGTCTGGACCCTTCTTCAAAAATTCACTTTCTCACTTCCTTCTGAAGAAGGGTGCAGACCCGAAACGTCAGCCTTCCTGCTCCTCTGATGCTGCTTGGCCTGCTGTGTTCATCCAGCTCTACACCTTGTTACCTCAGATTCTCCAGCATCGGCAGTTCCTACTATCTCTTGGTGTTTTCTCTCTTCTGTGGAGAATATTTGGGACAAGAATTCACTGTCCTGTGATGAGCCAGGACCCGAAGCGAGCTGCAAATTCAACCAGAACAATTGATGGCAGTAGAGGGGCCTCCAAAAAGCATCAGCCTTGGGTCTGTGGGAGAATGGGTTCAAGTCCCATTCCAGAGAGTTGGCTGACATTCCCGATGCAGGGCTGAGGGAGTGCTGCACTGTCAAAGGTGCGGTCTCATGGAGGCTGGGTCCATCTCGATTCTCCGTCCAAGCTCCTGGGTAGGTGGATAGAAACCTGCAGGAGTCCAGCAGTCAGCTTCGTCTCGATGTACTGATTCCTGCGGTGATTATCCTGCTGTTACAGTGCAGTTCTCAGATCACACCATGTGTGCAAACCAGATGCTGTATGTTGTAACAGTAATGTCAACAACTGATCTCAATTATGTCCGAACATAATTTACTCTTTGAGCTTGGATGAATAAGAGCTGGGACCTGATAGAAACCCATAACGTCACAGCAGGACTAGACAACGTAAAGACAGGAAGGATGTTCCTGATGAGCAGGGAGACCAGACCCAGGCTCACTGTGTAATGATACCGGGTGGGCAACTATTCAGGACTGAGAGGAGGAGAAATGTCTTAACCCAGAGAGTGGGGAGCCTGTGGAATTCTCTGTCACATAAACAGGCTGAGGCCAAAACAAGAAGGAGTTAGAACAAAGAACAATACAGCGCAGGAACAGGCCCTTCGGCCCTCTAAGCCTGCGCTGACACATTTTGCCCTTCCATACTAAAACTGTCCTCACTTACAGGACCCCTATCCCTCTATTCCCTTCC